CAGACTGCCGAAGATAAACCAATCAAGTGTAATGACATGTTTAAAGTTCAGCCTGACACAGGTCGACGGAACAGGAGAGTCCTGACTCTGGGAATTGCAGGAGTGGGAAAAACTGTGTCTGTTAATAAATTCATCCTAGACTGGGCTGAAGGAAAAGACAATCAGGAAATAGTCTTCATATTTCCACTGCCGTTCCGTAGACTGAATCTGATTAAAAAAGAAAAGTACAGTCTCATAGGTCTGCTTAACAAGTACTTCTCTAGTAAACCTGGAGGACTGAGCTCTCTTCCTGAAGAACAAGGCAAGGTCATGTTCGTCTTTGATGGACTGGATGAATGTCGCTTTGACTTGAAATTTAAGGAGGATGATGGATTTATAGAAGTTTCTAAGGAAATGCCAGTGAGTGAGATAATAACAAATCTCTTAAAGAGACAGCTGATGCCCTCTTCCCTGATCTGGATCACATCCAGACCAGCAGCAGCCAGTCTGATACCCCGAGACTACATTGATCAGGTGACTGAGGTGCGAGGATTCAATGATGAACAGAAGGAGCAGTACTTCATCAAAAACAGCAGTGCTGAGGTTGCTGGAAACATCATCAGTCACATCAGGAAATCCAGGAGTCTGTACATCATGTGCCACATCCCTGTCTTCTGCTGGATCTCTCTCACTGTTCTTCAGCCTCTGCTGGGTCAAGAGAACAATGAAAAAATACCTACAACTCTCACAGGCATGTACATCAACTTCTTACTGTCTCAAAAGCAGCAGATGAAAAAAAAATACAGCAATGATTCTGACCCGGAAGCCTATCCCAGGTCTTTTGATGACATAGTTCTGAAGCTTGGGAAACTGGCCTTTAAACAGCTGGAGGAAGGAAATCTGATTTTCTACAAAACAGATTTGCAGAAGTGTGGGCTGGATGTCAAGGAAGGGTCTCTGTTCTCTGGGTTATGTACTCGAATGTTTCAAGAGGAAAATCCTAATTCAGAGGAACAGGTCTACAGCTTTGTGCATCTCAGCGTTCAGGAGTTCCTCGCTGCTCTCTATGTGTTTTATATTTACAAAGACCAGAAAGCAAATCCATTTCTTGATTTCTGGAAAAAGCTGATATGGAAACTGTCTAAAAAGACCATGTTAAACCTTCATAAGGCTGCAGTCAAGAAGACTTTACAAAGCAAGAATGGACACCTGGACCTTTTCCTCCGGTTCCTGTTGGGTCTCTCACTGGAGTCCAATCAGAGTGACCTGAAGTCCAATCAGAGTGACCTGGAGGAGCTTCTGCCAGAACTGAAGCTCAAAACTGAGAACATCAAAGACACGACAGACTATATCAAGAAGAAAATAGAGGAGGAGAAATCAGCAGAGAGGACCATCAACCTCTTCCACTGTCTGAATGAACTGAAGGATGACTTTGTGGAGGACCTCCAGAAGAGTCTGAGCTCTGGAAATCTCACATCACAGGATCTGTCCTCTGCTCAGTGGTCGGGTCTGGTGTTTGTGCTCCTGATGTCAGAAGAGACTCAAGAGAAGTTTGAACTGCAGAAGTACAGAAGATCTGATGTAGCACTAAAGAGACTGATGCCAGTGATCAAGAACACAAGAAGAGCACTGTAAGAGTTTTCTTTACAACCAATATTATGCACTGTTAGTTTTTTAACTGGGTTTTAATTTTCTATGGGTGACTTTCATTCTTTAACTGCAATCATTGGTTTCTCAAGTAATCTGTGATCCAGATTAACACATTAATACAGTTGTTTGTTTTGTCCTCTACACAGGCTACAGTGCTGTAATCTCACTGTTCAGTCCTGTGAGAGTTTGTCTTCAGCTCTACAATCCTCAAACTGGTTCCTGAGAGAGCTGGACCTGAGTAACAATGACCTGCAGGATTCAGGAGTGAAGAAGCTCTCTGATGGACTGAAGAGTCCAAACTGTAAACTGGAGACACTGAGGTCTGAGTTCAAACACCTGATTGATTATTTTGAAACATATGTATTACCAAAAATCACACTGGTAATGTAATTTGTGTTTTTCTTTCTTAGCTTGGCCATGTGTAATGTCACTGCTCCGTCCTGTGAGAGTATGTCTTCAGCTCTACAATCCTCAAACTGTGTGCTGAGAGAGCTGGACCTGAGTAACAATGACCTGCAGGATTCAGGAGTTCAGCTTCTCTCTGATGGACTGAAGAGTTCAGACTGTAAGCTGGAGACACTGAGGTAAATGGTTTTCTTTTAAAATAAATGAAAAGACCTGCAACTCTACCTGTATGACTCCACTGAGAAATGGCACAGACAGGCCACCCTTTACCTATTATTATTCACTATTTGTAGAGCTTAAGTCATATCTAGTTTGCCTGTCTCATCCAACAATTAGCAATCTTTCAAAAGTGGTTTCTGGAATTGCCAGTCTCCTGGAAACAAATCAGAATTCATCACAGCTCTTTCTATCTACTCTAATGTCCTCTGGCTCTTACTGTTTCTCACCCCCCTATGGACATACTTCTCCAGTGTATCTTCCTCTGGATCAACAAGGCAGATTTATGAAAGAATTGCACATGCAGCTTTCAACCTTCCTCGAGGATAGGACTCCTCTGGTGGTACTTGGAGATTTTAACATCCACCTAGGCAAGCTTCATGCTGCAAAATACCACACTCTGCTAGACTCTTTTGATCTGAGGAAAGTGCCTACCTCAGCTATTTAAAGATCAGGTCCTCTGCTCCTCTGACAATGTACTGGTAACCCAACTACACACATAAGACCACTTCCCCCTCACTCTAAATTTCACTTTTCACTCATCTCATTCACCTCCATGCATCACAGTTTATCCCAATCTAGGCTCCACTCGGATTGAAGTCACTTCCACCAAACTGTCCTCCTGACCCATTCTGCTCCACAATCTGGCGTTTTTATTCATCTGGCCAGCATGCCCTATCCTCTCTGCCCCTTGGCTATCTGATGTTCTCAGAGAGAGCATGGTGTAAATCAAGTTTCTATCACAACCAAATGAACTCTTCTAACTCTCCTATGATCTTCAAAGCGTTCTGTAAGATCATGTTGAAATCCCGATTCCTTCATGGAGCTGAAATCCAAGATGTATGAAAACTCTGATCTACCCTCTTACCTAAGAAACTCTCCAAAACTGATACCATGGAACAAAACAAAAACCTTTCTAATCTAAGAAGCAAACCCACAAGGAAACAAGTTGTTCGGCTGTCTCGATCGTTCATCCCGTACCTCTACCAGAGCACGTCACTGACACTCTCAGTGTAATTGGTAAACTATGACCAGACAAAGGTCTTTGTGAATATTGCACTTTTTTTATTTTTCTGATTGTTTATTCTGAGTTGAGAGTTTAAAGGAAAGGCTCGAAAGTGTCTGGGATCCAATAGGCAGGATACTCCAGCACAGTGTCATACTGTGAGCTTTCTGGTAACCTCAATTTTACTAGGCAAATAAAATATTTACCTACTTTGAATTCTACAGAAGTTGTTGTGACTGGTAAATTGTTAGGACACTTTTGTTGACCTTTGGTGTATATGGTCAGTGTGGATCAAACTAGGATCACAAATGAATGGAGCAGTTAGGTCTTTTTTAGTGCTCATTTTTAATCTGGCAAGTTGCGTGGTAAAAGACTAGGAAGGATTAGGTACACCACAACAACAACCACACACTCACTAGTTAACCTGAATCACAATCACCCACAATCCAGGCTTGCAGATTGCTGGCAAACATGCACCATCACCTGGACTACAATTCTGTCACTTTATGAACTACAAATCCCATCATGCACCACACACACCTGTTCCAGATCTCTGACGATTGCGCACACACACATCTGGTAGCTCATCTAATCTTATTGCAGACTATATATACTGCTCACATTCCCACACACATTGCTGAGTCTCGTTATACTGTAGCATTATGAAGCATTTCCGTATGTTGTTTTTCTTTACTGTTTTTTCTGACCCTCACCGCTTGTCTGCAGCCTGTACCATTTGCCTGATTCTTGACTATGTATTTTGGATTGCCTGTATGTACCCGTTTGCTCCTGCAGTGCCTGCCAGACGATTCTTAATAAAACTTGCACTTGGATTCTCTGCTCCCTTGTCCAGCTTCCCTTACGTTACACATTGTCTTGCCTGTCAGTGTGCTCACAAAGCCAAACTCAAACACTTTTAGACAGTTACAGATGATTATAGGAGTGAATATCCTTCCTGCAGTTTATTGAAAACACTTGAAACTAGACAGTCTTTTGGACATGAGAATCACAAGAGCTGCATCCGAATCCTCAGTGCTCACTTTGTAGGATTTATTTGCTGCTGTTAACATGATTAACCAGAAAATTCCGTAGGCGATCGCTCAGAACATTGGGTATCTTGGGAACTGTACTCCAGTGGTTCAGCTCTTACCTCTAAGGAAGGTCATCAAGGGTGTCTTGGAGGGGTACTGCTACTGAGGAACCTCAGGGCTGTTCTAGGTCTGCTTCTCCTCTCCATCTACATAACTTGGGTCTGCCATTTAAAAATCTTGTCCAGGCTAGACTAATGCAATGCACTCTTGGCTGGCCTCCCAACCAAAACCTCAAGCCTCTGCACAGCTTCATGCTCAGTTGCTATCTGGTGATGTCTGTCTGCCAGACTAATGTGTTTGTGTGTGTTTGTAGGTTGTCTGGCTGTATGGTGACAGAGGAAGGCTGTGGTTTTCTGTCTTCAGCTCTGACTTCAAACCCCTCACACCTGAGAGAGCTGGATCTGAGCTACAATCATCCAGGAGATTCAGGAGTCAAGCTGCTCTCTGAACAACTGGAGGATCCAAACTACACACTGGACACACTCAAGTATGTGGAGGAGCAGATGCATATGCCGTCATGTAAAGGAGTTGTCATGCCAACATGTTCTGTAGCTGGTTGTGACAAAATTGGAACATTTTAAGTTTATTACAGTACATTATTGACTGAATGTGAATCTGTGTGTGTGTACAGTGTGGATCATGGAGGAGAGAAGATGATTACAGCAGGACTGCACAAATGTATGTCAACACACATATACACAATCAAACTACACACACAGTACACACTCACTCACACACAATGTTTTTAAACTCAGAATATCCTATTTTCAGGTGGTGATTAATTGTAATTGTAAATGTAATGTACAGCTTTGCATGCATATTAAGGGCACATGTTATTAAAGGATTAATGTTTTAAACCACGCTGTTTTTGTAGAACCTTGGGTGGATTCTGAATCTCTATATAGATTGCATCACATGAATTCCTTACGTCATGCAGCCTAAATCACATATATACCGTAACATCAATATTTATCACATTACATATATCATGTGAACTGGAAATGTGAGTGTTGTTGTGTTATAAATGTGTCTCTTCTTGTGTTCAGATGCCTGTTTCCTCACACTGGACCCAAACACAGCCAACACTGAACTCATTCTGTCTGAGGAGAACCGAGAGGTGACCGGTGTGAGAGAGAATCAGCCGTATCCTGATCATCCAGACAGATTTGATTGTGTTCTTCAGGTGTTGTGCAGAGAGAGTGTGTGTGGACGCTGCTACTGGGAGGTTGACTGGAGCGGAGATCACGTGTTAATAGCAGTGTCGTATAAGCGCATCTTGAGGAAGGGATACGGAGAAGAGTGTTGGTTTGGAAATAATGATCATTCCTGGTGTTTGAGCAGCTCTCCCTCCAGTTTCTCATTCAGATACAATAACATGAAGAATCCTCTGCCAGTAGAGCCGATCAGCAGGAGAATAGGAGTGTTTGTGGATCACAGTGCAGGAACTCTGATCTTCTACAACATCAGTGAAGACACAACCATCCTCATCCACTCAGTCCAGACCACATTCACTGAGCCGCTCTATCCTGGGTTCTGGGTTTATTCTGGATCATCAGTGAAACTGTGTTGATGAGATGAGTACCTTAGGTTGCATCTGCTCCCAAAATTGTATCTATGTTACCTTAAAATATACATCCCCAAATCAGAAAAGGTTGGAATAGTATGGAAAACACAAATAAAAAGTGTCTGTCTCCTCTTCCTCTGCAGCAGGACTCTGTAATGTGAGCTGAATGTGGTTCTGCATTGTCCTGTTGGACTCTGCATGGGCATCTCTGGAGCAGAAGGCAGCATCTTGAGCTCCAGAATCTCTCTGTGCTGTTCAGCATTACTGAAGCATCACTGAAGAGCAGGTCACCTTCACCAAGAGCACCGACACAACCCCAGACCATGACAGAGCTGGGCTTCTGGACTTGTTACCTGTAACTGTCTGGAATATCCTTTTCTTCTTTGGTCCGGAGCACACAACGTCCATTTCTCCCCCAAAATACCTGAGATACTGCTTCATCTGAGCACAGTGCATGTCTCCACTGTGTGATGGTCCATCCCAGATGCCACCGAGCCCAGAAAAGTCTGAGCTGTGCGGATTACAGGACGAAGGCTTCTTGACAAGAGTGAACCAGGGATGGCCATGGTCTCGAATAATCTCTATCACGGGCCAAACATCTTTCTGTGGAACCTTCACTGATCACTATGATCACCTCTGCCATTGATCGACCATTGAAAGCCATGAGATGACAACGTAGAGACATCAGTGTTAGATGGAGTTTTATTTTGACTGCAATTCCTCCGCAACTTCCTCTGTGTCTGCAGCATTTCTTACAGCATAGATCCCATGCTGTTTGATGCAAGCAGACCGGAATGGACAGTAAAGTTGAAGGCGAGTCGATAAAATTTGTTCTGTTTGTAGCATTATTGGGTAAAACTTCAACTCCACTTGAATAAAGGACAGATCGCCGATCACACACTACGAGTCAGAGAACTTCAAATGTTCTGTGTTCATACTGTATGCAGTGAAACACAAGTCACAGTACATCTGGAAATAACTAATTTCTTTCTTCGTGTTTTCCACACTGTGCCAACTGTTTCTGATTAGGGGTTGTAGTTATTTGTAACTATTTACGAAATTTGTTTTAAAAACCTATTTTTTCCAAGACAAATATACAACTTTTAGTTTGGGCCTGTCCACTACTCAACTGTGCGGGTGGATGATTTTCGGTCAGTGGAAAGTAAGAGTTTTATTAATTCTTCACTAATTGTGTTGTATCACAGTCTTCTGTCAATCCCTAAGGACATAAAATCATAGTTTTAAAGATTACGCTTGAGATTTTTCATGGGTGCTGATGTGCTTTAACCACATTTAGATTTCAGTAAAATATTAAAATTAAAAAGGAAATGAATTATGTCGTAATGAATGCCATAAATAATGTAGCCTTTGACAGTGAGCATAAGTGTTTCTAGACATGATTTGGTATTTTTGAATAATATAATTAGAAAGTCATATTTTGCCTTTAAGTTCAGTTTCTCTAGGTATTTTTGTAACTCAATAGTAATACAGCACAGTTCGGAGACAGTGATATTGTAAGGTAAGCGATGTCTTTAAAACAACAGTAAGAAATATTGAGTAAAGTCTGGAAGTACAGTGGTCATGACTGAACGAGGCGAACTCCTGAAATCACGATCATCTCAGATTATACTCATGATCCTATCAAAGCTTTCTGTTTCTTATTAGCCTATAGCCTATCTATCTCAGAGATTACACAAGATTACACTCATAACCATGTCTATCTCAGAGATTACACTAGATTACACTCATAATCATGTCTATCTCAGAGATTACACTAGATTACACTCATAATCATGTCTATCTCAGAGATTACACTAGATTACACTCATAATCATGTTTATCTCAGAGATTACACTAGATTACACTCATAATCATGTTTATCTCAGAGATTACACTAGATTACACTCATAATCATGTCTATCTCAGAGATTACACTAGATTACACTCACAACCATGTCTATCTCAGAGATTACACTAGATTACACTCATAATCATGTTTATCTCAGAGATTATTACACTAGATTACACTCATAATCATGTCTATCTCAGAGATTACACTAGATTACACTCACAACCATGTCTATCTCAGAGATTACACTAGATTACACTAATAATCATGTCTATCTCAGAGATTATTACACTAGATTACACTCATTATCATGTCTATCTCAGAGATTATTACACTAGATTACACTAATAATCATGTTTATCTCAGAGATTACACTAGATTACACTCATAATCATGTCTATCTCAGAGATTACACTAGATTACACTCAGAATCATGTCTATCTCAGAGATTACCCTAGATTACACTCATAATCATGTCTATCTCAGAGATTATTACACTAGATTACACTCATAATCATGTCTATCTCAGAGATTATTACACTAGATTACACTAATAATCATGTTTATCTCAGAGATTACACTAGATTACACTCATAATCATGTTTATCTCAGAGATTACACTAGATTACACTCATAATCATGTTTATCTCAGAGATTACACTAGATTACACTCAGAATCATGTCTATCTCAGAGATTACACTAGATTACACTCATAATCATGTCTATCTCAGAGATTATTACACTAGATTACACTCATAATCATGTCTATCTCAGAGATTATTACACTAGATTACACTCATAATCATGTCTATCTCAGAGATTATTACACTAGATTTCACTAATAATCATGTCTATCTCAGAGATTACACTAGATTACACTCATAATCATGTTTATCTCAGAGATTACACTAGATTACACTCATAATCATGTTTATCTCAGAGATTACACTAGATTACACTCATAATCATGTTTATCTCAGAGATTATTACACTAGATTACACTCATAATCATGTTTATCTCAGAGATTACACTAGATTACACTCATAATCATGTCTATCTCAGAGATTACACTAGATTACACTCATAATCATGTCTATCTCAGAGATTATTACACTAGATTACACTAATAATCATGTTTATCTCAGAGATGACACTAGATTACACTCATAATCATGTTTATCTCAGAGATTACACTAGATTACACTCAGAATCATGTCTATCTCAGAGATTACACTAGATTACACTCATAATCATGTTTATCTCAGAGATTACACTAGATTACACTCAGAATCATGTCTATCTCAGAGATTACACTAGATTACACTCATAATCATGTCTATCTCAGAGATTATTACACTAGATTACACTCATAATCATGTCTATCTCAGAGATTATTACACTAGATTACACTAATAATCATGTTTATCTCAGAGATTACACTAGATTACACTCATAATCATGTTTATCTCAGAGATTACACTAGATTACACTCATAATCATGTTTATCTCAGAGATTACACTAGATTACACTCAGAATCATGTCTATCTCAGAGATTACACTAGATTACACTCATAATCATGTTTATCTCAGAGATTACACTAGATTACACTCATAATCATGTCTATCTCAGAGATTATTACACTAGATTACACTAATAATCATGTTTATCTCAGAGATTACACTAGATTACACTCATAATCATGTTTATCTCAGAGATTACACTAGATTACACTCATAATCATGTTTATCTCAGAGATTACACTAGATTACACTCAGAATCATGTCTATCTCAGAGATTACACTAGATTACACTCATAATCATGTCTATCTCAGAGATTATTACACTAGATTACACTCATAATCATGTCTATCTCAGAGATTATTACACTAGATTACACTAATAATCATGTCTATCTCAGAGATTACACTAGATTACACTCAGAATCATGTCTATCTCAGAGATTATTACACTAGATTACACTAATAATCATGTCTATCTCAGAGATTACACTAGATTACACTCAGAATCATGTCTATCTCAGAGATTATTACACTAGATTACACTCATAATCATGTCTATCTCAGAGATTATTACACTAGATTACACTCATAATCATGTCTATCTCAGAGATTACACTAGATTACACTCAGAATCATGTCTATCTCAGAGATTATTACACTAGATTACACTCATAATCATGTCTATCTCAGAGATTATTACACTAGATTACACTAATAATCATGTCTATCTCAGAGATTACACTAGATTACACTCAGAATCATGTCTATCTCAGAGATTATTACACTAGATTACACTCATAATCATGTCTATCTCAGAGATTATTACACTAGATTACACTCATAATCATGTCTATCTCAGAGATTATTACACTAGATTACACTCATAATCATGTCTATCTCAGAGATTACACTAGATTACACTAATAATCATGTCTATCTCAGAGATTATTACACTAGATTACACTCATAATCATGTCTATCTCAGAGATTATTACACTAGATTACACTAATAATCATGTCTATCTCAGAGATTATTACACTAGATTACACTCATAATCATGTCTATCTCAGAGATTACACTAGATTACACTCATAATCATGTCTATCTCAGAGATTATTACACTAGATTACACTCATAATCATGTTTATCTCAGAGATTACACTAGATTACACTCATAATCATGTCTATCTCAGAGATTATTACACTAGATTACACTAATAATCATGTTTATCTCAGAGATTACACTAGATTACACTCATAATCATGTTTATCTCAGAGATTACACTAGATTACACTCATAATCATGTTTATCTCAGAGATTACACTAGATTACACTCAGAATCATGTCTATCTCAGAGATTACACTAGATTACACTCATAATCATGTCTATCTCAGAGATTATTACACTAGATTACACTCATAATCATGTCTATCTCAGAGATTATTACACTAGATTACACTAATAATCATGTCTATCTCAGAGATTACACTAGATTACACTCAGAATCATGTCTATCTCAGAGATTATTACACTAGATTACACTAATAATCATGTCTATCTCAGAGATTACACTAGATTACACTCAGAATCATGTCTATCTCAGAGATTATTACACTAGATTACACTCATAATCATGTCTATCTCAGAGATTATTACACTAGATTACACTCATAATCATGTCTATCTCAGAGATTACACTAGATTACACTCAGAATCATGTCTATCTCAGAGATTATTACACTAGATTACACTCATAATCATGTCTATCTCAGAGATTATTACACTAGATTACACTCAGAATCATGTCTATCTCAGAGATTACACTAGATTACACTCAGAATCATGTCTATCTCAGAGATTATTACACTAGATTACACTCATAATCATGTCTATCTCAGAGATTATTACACTAGATTACACTCATAATCATGTCTATCTCAGAGATTATTACACTAGATTACACTCATAATCATGTCTATCTCAGAGATTACACTAGATTACACTAATAATCATGTCTATCTCAGAGATTATTACACTAGATTACACTCATAATCATGTCTATCTCAGAGATTATTACACTAGATTACACTAATAATCATGTCTATCTCAGAGATTATTACACTAGATTACACTCATAATCATGTCTATCTCAGAGATTACACTAGATTACACTAATAATCATGTCTATCTCAGAGATTATTACACTAGATTACACTCAGAATCATGTCTATCTCAGAGATTATTACACTAGATTACACTCAGAATCATGTTTATCTCAGAGATTAAACCCAACACTTAGTTCAGGACTCGTGTTGTCGATCTGTCACCACCACACCACACTATAGCGACGCCCTATTGCAGCTACACTTGTTGACCGTGTGTATTTGCTGCACTGCAGTGTGTTTAATTGTTGACTGGTGCTGGAAAGGGTGTATATTACTGTATATTAATGTGTACTAGAGCTCCAGATAGCGACCTGTGACTAAAACAAAAGAATGAATACAAGGTTACACAAAATAAAAAATGTACGGCAAAAGCAAAGTGAATTACATTACAATTACAAAAAAAACTAGCAGATAAACATAATTATTAATGAGCACAACTTCTTTGTGAATGTGTTTGCACTTATTAAATGAAATTCGACAGTCGTACGCGTCATTCCGGAAGTGACGTGATCTACGCGGAAGTGAGCAGCCGTTGCTATGATGCGGAGATGCTGAGGCTCTGAATCAGCGCATTTCTCCGTGTTCAGTGTGGAGGATGAAGTGATTTCAGTCAGCGCGGACAGCCGACACTGTGAGTACTGATTATAGACACATATTTACAGCACATCCGCTCACCAGCGGAGGACAAGACGGTGGAGGAGGAGGAGGAGCTGCTGCTGCTGGCGCTGACACACAGACAGAGGCAGCCCGGAGCGACGGACAGCCCATAATAAACACAGCAGATCTGCTGTAACCGACCTGAATACATGCAGTAATGTGGACAATACTGTTAATAAAACATGGTGACAATATAGACAAGCAGACTGACATTCCTGACAGCAGTAAAACACCATCATCATCATCATCATCATCATCCATCACAGAGTGAGTGAAGGGTTCATACAGCCCCGAGTTTGACCCTCTTGACATCATACATTAGTAGTAAGACTGTAGTAAAGGGAAACTTCTATTGATGGCTTGTTAAAACTGATGATGATGATGATGATGAAGCACATTGTCATCAGTCAGATGTGCAGTTGTCATGGTGAATGGGATTGTTTGTAACATTAGAATCTCTGTGATGGTTTATTATAGTGTGTGTGTGTGTGTGTGTGTGTGTGTGTGTGTGTGTGTGTGTGTGTGTGTGTGTGTGTGTGTGTTTCAGGAGCTGATGGCCGGTAAGGTGAAGTGGGTGACGGACATTGAGAAGTCTGTGCTGATCAATAACTTTGAGAAGAGAGGATGGATCCAGGTGACGGACAGCGAAGACTGGAACTTCTACTGGCAAGACACAATTCACTCATCCATTCACACTCTCGCTCACACATTCATTCACACTCTCTGAATGTTTATTCATTCACTCACTCATTTATGTACTCAATAATTCACTCATTTATTTATTCACTTGCTCACTCACTCATTCACTCACACTCACTCATTCATTTTTACACTCATTCATACACAATTTATTTATTGATTAATTCATTCATTCTTACTCACATTCATTCACTCAATCAATTATTTATTCACTCATTTATTTAATTATTCACTCACTAATTCATCCACTTACTCGGGTATTCAGTCACCCATTTATTTATTCACTCACTCTTTCACTCTACTTTTTTCATTCACTCACTCAATCAATCACTGATTCACTCATTATTTTTTTCATTCATTCATTCATTCACTCACTAAATCAATCACTCATTTATTCACTTATTTGTTTACTCACTAATTCACTTATTCATTTACTCACTCATTCATACATTCACTAATTCACTCATTCATTCATTCATTCAGATATTTATTCAGTCACTCATTCATTCACTGACTCACACATTTACTCATTCATTCACGCACTAATTTATTCACAGACTCACACTCACTCATGCATTTACTCACTCATTCACACACTCATACATTTAACCCCTTACACATTCACTCCTTATTTCACACAGACTCTTATACACACACACTCACTTGTTCATTTACTCATTCACTCACTCACACATTCACTCATTTACAAACTCACACTCATTCATTCACACACTCAGTCACTCACTGATTTGTTCATTTGCTCACTCATCCATTTATTCATTAATTCACTCACTCATTCATTCACTCAATCACTCATTCACTCATTTGTTCGCTCACTCACTCATTCACTCACACGTTCATCCTCACACTCATTCATACACACATTTACCAATTCACTCACTCATTTACTTATTTAATTTATTCATTCACTCATTCATTCACTCGTTTATTTATTCATTCTCACATTCATTCATACACACATTCACCAATTCATTCACTCATTTATTCACTCACTTATTTATTTATTCTCACACTCATTCATTCACTCATTTATTTATTCATTGCCTCACTCATTTATTTATTTATTTACTCACTCATTCATTCACTCATTTATTTATTCATTTATTCGCTCATTCATTCACTTGTTTATTTATTCATTCATTCACTCATTCATTCACTTATTTATTTATTCATTTATTCGCTCATTCATTCACTTGTTTATTTATTCATTCATTCATTCACTCACTCATTCATTTATTCAATCATTTAATGATTCACTCACTTATTCATCAACTCATTTATTTTTTCATTTACTCATTCATTTACTCATTTATTTATTCATTCACTCACTCATTCATTCACTCATTTATTCATTCATTTACTTATTTATTCATTCATTTACTCATTTATTTATTCATTAATGCATTCATTCAGTCATTTATTTATTCATTTACTCACTCATTCATTCACTCATTTATTCATTTACTAACTCAATCATTCACTGATGTATTTATTAATTCACCCACTCAATCATTCACTTATTTATTTATTCACTCACTCACTCACTCACTCACTCATTCATTCACTCATTTATCTATTCATTCACTTATTCACTTATTTATTAATTCACACTCATTCATACACACATTCACTAATTCACTCATTCACTTATTTATTTATGAACACATTCATTCATTTACTCATTTATTTATTCATTAATTCATTTATTCACTCATTTAATTATTAATTCACTCAGTCACTCATTCACTTACTCATTCATTCACTCATTTATTCATTCACTCACTCATTCACTCACCCATTTAATTATTCATTCACTCACTTACTCATTTATTTATTAATTCACTCATTTATTTATTCATTTACTCACTCATTTACTAATCTGTTTTATTAATTCACTCACTCATTTATTTATTCATTCTCTCTCACTCATTTATTTATTCATTCACCCACTCATTCATTTACTCAGTCATTCATTCACTCATTTATTTATTCATTCACTCATTATTCATTCACTCACTCATTCACTCATTTATTTATTCATTCACTCACTCATTCATTCACTCACTCATTTATTTATTTATTCATTCACTCACTCATTCATTCACTCATTTATTTATTCATTCACTCAGTCATTCATTCATTCACTCACTAACTCATTTATTTATTTTATTCATTCACTCATTTGTTCATTCACTCACTCATTTATTTATTTACTCACTCACTCATTCATTCACTCATTTATTCATTCATTCACTCATTCATTCATTCACTTATTCATTCATTCACTCATTCATTCATTCACTCATTCATTCATTCACTCATTTTTGCATTCATTCTCTCATTTATGTATTCATTCATTCACTCACTCATTTATTCCCACATTCATTCCCACATTTCACACAGACTTTCACACTCAATCATTCACACACGAAAGGTGCGTTCGACTTCATGCAGCGCTGCGCAGATCGATCGAAATCTGTCTTAAAGCGGTGCATTCTGGTTAGAAATCTTGTCCGGATTGATGCTGCGCCGACGCCACGTGACTGTCACATGTGGCATCAAAGTACCGCGACAGCGCTCCGAGATCAGACGGCAAACTCAGACCATGCAGCTTCTGAAGAGCGACTGCAGGAGCTTTGATGACGACACCGATATCACACGATTGGCCGAGTTCACCACATGACAACAAACACGTGTATTTCGGGTTTATAATTGGACAAATTCCGATTCAAAAGTTTCAAAACAAACAATTCACTTTTCACACCCTCTCTATCCTGTACACATCTTGCTTATTAAAAGACTACAAATATTTTACTGCAGTAATCATCTTTTGTTAAATAATCTGGTTATAAAGGTTAGCTTGTTTGCACAGGTTTATTTTTTAACTTTTTTATACAGACTATTTACTGCATTCATCTCCATGAACGATTTAAATGATATATTTTAGTGTATATTTTAGTGAATAACCTAAATATGAACTCAAATAAGTCTTACAGACTTGAAATAAGAAAATCATCATCATTGATCCTGCCCCCCTAAAGCTCTCTTAACAAATTAAAGTAAAGAACATTTTTATTAAATAATTATAAAATGGCTTTATTATTATAATATAAATATATATTTTATTTCCTGTCTAGCAGTTTAAAGGCTACCTGCTCTTTCTGGGAAACTTCTACATAGCTCACTTATTTTACCTTTTGTTCTTTTCAACACAATCTTTTTGGATTAAAATGCTTTTTTGAAAATTCAATCATCATCCAAAATAATGTCATTTATTAAGACCTAATCAAAACACCTTGTTTTGCTTTTTACATGGGAAATTTTTATATCTATAAATGTACATATATGTAAACCCTTTTTTTTAGCATATTTAAACAAGAAGTATTAGCCTAAAGATTGATGTTTAACTCCTAGAATTTATGCTTATTGCTTTGTATTTAATAGACCTGTTCGTTTTTATGTTTATATTAACCTCTCATTTCCTCTTATTTCTCTCATGCATTTGTTATATATTTTATTCATAATTCTCTCTTATTGTTTAAAAAGGAACTACAGTTTGAAGAGCCTGTATTCTGTTTTATTTGTAAATGTTTTGTTGTTATAAATAAAAATAACAAAAAAAAAATATATATATATGATGACGCCATGTGATTGGTCATCATGACTGCAGCAACTTTGAGTCCCGAAGTGTCCAGCTGACCGTCTTGACGGCTCCGTTTTCAACTCCGCCCCGCCTGCGCTCGGCTAATCTCGTTGATCACCGGCTGCAGCTGAGCTTCATGTCGAACGCACCTGAAGTCATTTAGTGATTCATTAATTTGCTCATTCTGCCATCTATTCATTAATTCACTCATCCACTCGCTTATTCACACACACACACACACACACACACACACACAGAGACAGACAGTCAGTAGAGCTGCTCATAGTGTCATCAGGTCACTCATGGTGGATTATTGACTGTGTGTTTGTACACACAGAGGAGCTCCTGAGCCCTGAGACAGCCCTGAGTCACCGCACACACACACACACATCCTCATCAGCTGGGCTCTGCTTATATTGGTGTGTGTGTGTGAGCTCAGTCTTCTGTAACAGGATGAGCTCAAACGGTGGAGGGTCCACCTGCAGCTTCATTTTAACTGCATGCAGTGCCCTCTAGTGTCCACCATCAGCACTGCAGCCTGGGGTTATGGTTCATTAGCACTATATATATAGAGTTACTGGATATGAGCATATGTCTACTTCAGATGTGTGTGTGTGTGTGTGTGTGTGTGTGTGTGTGTGTGTGTGTGTGTGTGTGTGTGTGTGTGTGTGTGTGTGTGTGTGTGTGTGAATCCATCATGTGGGCTCAGTGTGGGTGTTGTCCATCAGTCAGGTCTACAGCGTCATCTTCAGCCCCCGTCAGGCGGTGGAAATCCTCAGTGTGTGTGTGTCGTTCTCTGCAGGATGAGCATCCAGACCATCCGCACGGTGTTCAGCGTGGACACGGGCTACCGGCTGACGGACGATCAGATGGTGAACCACTTCCCCAACCACTACGAGCTGACGCGCAAAGACCTGATGATCAAGAACATCAAGCGCTACCGCCGAGAGCTGGAGAAGGAGAACAGCGCGCTCGCCGAGAAGGACGACAGCGGAAAATACATCTATCTGGGTGAGGGAGTGTGTGTGTGCATATATTTACACAGCAGATGTCCTTCCAGCTGCAACCCAGTCCTGGAAAACACCCATACACACTCATTCACACACACACACTCATACACTACAGCTGATCAGTTCCCCTATAGCGCATGTGTTTGGACTGTACCGGAGCACCCAGAGGAAACCCACGCCAACTCGGGGAGAACATGCAAACTCCACACAGAAACACCAACTGACCCAGCAAAGACTCGAAACAGCGGCCCTCTTACTGTGTGTGTGCTCTTCAGATTTCGTGCCGGTGACGTTCATGCTGCCGGCGGACTATAACCTGTTCGTGGAGGAGTTCCGCAAGAGTCCGTCCAGCACCTGGATCATGAAGCCCTGCGGGAAAGCCCAGGGCAAAGGCATCTTCCTCATCAACAAGCTCTCGCAGATCAAGAAGTGGTCCCGCGACAGCCGCACGTCCACGTGAGCCTACACACACACACACACACAATAATAATACTCGCACACAAGACCTACACCAGTCTGAGTATATACTTTTATTCTAAGTGGTCTTAATAAATAGTCTGCTTATTACAATTTTAGGCCACAGCAGGTCTAAATGTGCACGTTTTGACCCTTCGAAATGAAGAAGACCCTCATATGTGTGCAGATATGTCAGAATCCTGCTAGCTGGACATGTCTGTTGATCTGAAACACTCTGCTGACGTCAGGTGTTCTGCTGTGCATTCTGTGCCAGAACGTCAGTCTTTGTGTTGACCTCTATGACCCGCCCACTGCCAGTTTAGCCAATTATATTTCAGCACTCCGGGTTGCCAGATGGTGGAATTCAGTCTTGAAGGCGGTCAGTGTGTGTGGCAGCTGAAGATGCGCCCTCTGGAGGACAGCAGCAGCCTCTAAAAGGAGACGCAGATATTAGATATTAAAATACACATGAGGTGGTTTATAATTAGCAGATAATATAAATATTACAAACGTAAACATTAGCTGAGCTGGATCATCAGGCATGCTCGCTTCTGCCTGTGCTGTCAATCTGGCAACCTGTGTGTGTGTGTCAGTGTAAGGACGAGCCGGGTGAAGAATCCTCTTCACTATTTTGAATGTGGTCTGCAATACCCAGTTCATCCACTAGAGATCAGTCCTGCATACTCATTACGTTCAGTTTAGTTGACTCTATTGAACATAATCAGTGTCATATGACTTGTATTCTTCTTGTAGATTTGATCCTGATTTAGCTTCAGTTCGTCTGTATATACTGCACATATCAGGGGATGCATGCGTTATATTAAATGCAGATTCATTCCTTTTTAGCAGCATTGTAAGTCTGGCTGGTAATTGAGAATTATTAATAAAACATTTTTTACAAATTCTACAAATTTCACATTAACAAATCTAGTGTTGAATCATGTCTAAATACTCGAATGATTAACCTAAACTGAGAAGGGAAGCAGATTTGTTCAGAAACAAGACTAGCAGACATTATTAAAGAGCCCTACAGGAACACAATGACCCACACACAATGATCTGACCATAGTTGTCCTACTTAAACCCACCTTTAACCTAAAATAAATAAATAAATAAAAAATAATCAAAAAAAAAAAATATATATATATATATATATATATATATATATTAATTGATTACTGCACAAATAGTATTCTGTAATCCAAATATTAATCAATATTATTATGCAATATAATTATTGCATTAATATTCATTGAATAATATTAAGTAAATTAATAATAAACTCACATATAGAACACTTATTTAATTAAAAGCGGTATGGTTAGACAGGAAGAGCATGTAAATGTCGCTTCTCCATCACTCTCCAGAGTACAATGATCCTGTAAATGTCATGTATGCTGTAATCAGTGCATCATTAGCTGTAATGTTTACCAAAAATGCTTGCAAACAGCAGCGTAGCGGATCCGTCACTTCAATTACATATTAAAACTCACCCCAGTTAAAAGCTGAGGTTGGTTTCACATCACATGCAGGGTTGCCAGATTGGTGGGAGATTTATGTGGGCAGAGTGATAGACAGAGTCTGATGTGTGGTATTTGGCAACCCTGATAATATTAATAATAGTAATGTGTTTGTTGTGGTGTAGAGTACAGAAGCTGAACTCAACACATGCACTTCTCAGCTCATCATGTCTGTGGTTAATATCCTCTTCAGTGGTGTTAATGTTCTGTGAAAACAGCGCCTCAGCACTGAGCTCTTGTGGACAAACTAAGTAGTGCAAGCAGTATGTAATAAAACCGTATTATATTTTAGAACAGTTTTCATTTGTATAATCCCTCATTGAATGTGCATTAAATTATTAGTCCTGACATGAAAACATATCCATAAGTAGCTGACGTGGGAATAAATAAATAATATATAAAGAACTAGAAAATACTCTAATTACTTTGGCCACTCTACAGTGTAGGAACACTGAAATAGCATGTCAATACTGTACAACTGTCTATTAAATTCAGTACTGTAGTGTGTTTCTGATATCCTCACTATAGCCTGAAGCACAGCTGTTCTACAGTACACTACAGTACATCTCAAAACACATACAGTTGCACATACTGTAACATGTAATGCCTTCACTTTACCCTGACAATACTGCAGCACAATTTAAACTGGATACTATTCATCTGAACAACAGCCAATATAAACCTGAGTGTCTTGACTGAGGCTGATCCTCAGCTCCTGCATGAGTCTGTGTTGTTCAGCGGGTGTTATCTGGGAATATCAGACTCGGGATCTCTCGACTGATCCAGTATTCAGACCGCCTGTATTTGATCATCAGTGTTCTGCTGCTCATGCAGGGCCTAGATGGGCTGATTGTGGTCTGTGTTCAGGTTTGTGGCGGCGAACAGTGGGAAGGAGGCGTACGTGATCTCGCTGTACATCGACAACCCTCTGCTGATCGGCGGGAAGAAGTTTGACCTGCGGCTCTACGTGCTGGTCACCACCTACCGGCCGCTCAAGTGCTACATGTGGGTGCAGGAGAGCTCAGAGTAAGGCTGAATGTCCGCTTCACTGCACTAAAGCGCTTGTGTTGCAGGTATAAACTGGGCTTCTGCCGCTTCTGCACTGTCAAATACACCCCCAGCACCAGCGAACTGGACAACATGTTCGTGCACCTCACCAACGTGGCCATCCAGAAGCACGGCGTGAGTCCACCACCGGCGTTTCAGATCACGACACTCTCTCCTGATGCTTACGCCACTGATGGCAGTCTGTGTTTGAGGAGCTACTGATGTAGGGGAGGAGCTAATGAAGAAAAGGGAGGGGCTGATTATAAAGGGGAGGGGCTGTTGAAGAAAAGGGAGGAGCTGATTATTAAGGGGAGGGGCTGATGATGAAGAGGAGGGCTACTGATGAAGGGGGAGCTGTTGAAGAAAAGGGAGGAGCTGATGATGAAGGGGAGGAGCTACTGATAAAGGGGGAGCTGATTATGAAGGGGAGGAGCTACTGATGAAGGGAGAGCTGTTGAAGAAAAGGGAGGAGCTGATTATGAAGGGGAGGAGCTACTGATAAAGGGGGAGCTGATTATGAAGGGGAGGAGCTACTGATGAAGGGGGAGCTGTTTAAGAAAGGGGAGGAGCTGATTATGAAGGAGAGGATCTACTGATGATGAAGGGGAGGAGCTACTGATGAAAGGGGAGCTGATTATGAAGGGGAGGAGCTACTGATGAAGGGGGAGCTGTTTAAGAAAGGGGAGGAGCTGATTATGAAGGAGAGGATTTACTGATGATGAAGGGGAGGAGCTACTGATGAAGGGGGAGCTGATTATGAAGGGGAGGAGCTACTGATGAAGGGGGAGCTGTTTAAGAAAGGGGAGGAGGTGATTATGAAGAGGAGGAGCTACTGATGAAGGGAGAGCTGTTGTAGAAAGGGGAGGAGCTGATTATGAAGGAGAGGAGCTACTGATGAAGGGAGAGCTGTTGAAGAAAGGGGAGGAGTTGATTATGAAGAGGAGGGGCTACTGATGATGAAGGGGAGGAGCTACTGATGAAGGGAGAGCTGTTGAAGAAAGGGGAGGAGGTGATTATGAAGAGGGGCTACTGATGATGAAGGGGAGGAGCTAATGATGAAGGTAGAGCTGTTGAAGAAAGGGGAGGAGCTGATTATGAAGAGGAGGGGCTACTGATGATGAAGGGGAGGAGCTACTTATGAAGGAGAGGAGCTGATGAAGAAAGGGGAGGGGATTATGAAGGGGAGGAGCTGTTGAAGAAAAGGGAGGAGCTGATTATGAAGTGGAGGAGCTACTGATGAAGGCGAGGAGCTGTTGAAGGGGAGGGGCTTTTGATGAAGGGGAGAAGCTAATGATGAAAGGGAGGGGCTGTTGAAGAAAGGTGAGGGGCTAATTATGAAGGGGAGGGGTTACTGTTGAAGGGGAGGAGCTGATGAAGAAAGGAAAGGAGCTGATTATGGAGGGAAGGACCTTCTGTTGAAGGAGAGAAGCTGATGATGAAGGGGAGGAGCTGGTAAAGAAAGAGGAGGGGCTGTTAAAGAAAGGGCATGGGCTGATTATGAAGGGGAGGAGCTGTTGAAGAAAGGAAAGGGATGCTGATTAAGGAGAGGAGTTACTGATGAAAAGGAGGAGATGTTATTGAAGAGGAGGGGCTATTGATGAAAGGGAGGAGCTGTTGTTGAAGGGGAGGAGCTACTGATAAAGGAGAAGAGCAACTGAATCAGGCGAAGAACTATTAAAGAAGCGGGAGGAACTGTTGATGAAGGGGAGGAGCTGATGATAAAGGGGAGGGTCTACTGACGAAGGGGGAGCTGTTGAAGAAAGGGGGAGGAGCTGATGATGAAGGAGAGGAGCTACTGATAAAAGTAAGGAGCTTTTGATAAAGGGGAGAAGCTGATGATGAAGGGGAGGAGCTCATGAAAATGGGAGGAGCTACTGATGAAGAGGAGGAACTGTTGATGAAGGGGAGGAGCTACTGATAATTCCTCCATGTTTCCAGTAACCTCTCCCCTTCATCACCAACTCCTCCCCCTTCATCAATAACTCCTCCTTTTTATCAACAGCTCCTCCCCTTCATCATCAGCTGCAGCAGCCCCTCCCTTATTCAGTAGCTTTTCTCCTTCATCAGTAACTCCTCCCCTTCATCATGAGCTCCTCCCCTTCATCGTCAGCTGCAGTAGCCCCTCCCTTAATCATGAGCTCCTCTCCTTCATCAGTAGTCCTTCCTCTTCATCAGTAACTCCTCCCCTTTATCATGAGCTCCTCCCCTTCATCAGTAGTTTTTCCCCTGATTTAGTAGCTCTTCTCCTTCATCAATAGCTCCTCCCCTGTCTTCAATAGCTCCCCTCCTTCATAATCAGCTCCTCCCCCTCATCAATAGCTCCTCCCCTTCGCAGGTAAGGAAAGAATTGTTAGTTTAGGGGAAGAGCTGCTACTGACGGGGAGGAATTGTTAATGAAGGGGAGGGTCTATTGATAAAGGGGACGAACTGTTAATGAAGGGGAGGAGCTACCTGTAAAGGTGAGAAACTATTAATCAAGGGGAGGAGCTACTGTTAAAGGGGAAGAGCTGTTAATAAAGGAGGAGCTGATAATGAAGAGGGGCTGTTAATTAAGGGGAGGAGCTACTGTTGAAGAGGAGGAAATGTTGATGCAGGGGAGGAGAGACTGGTGAAGGGGAGGAGACAATGAGGAAGAGGAGAGGTGAGGATGAAGAGGGGAGGAGCTATTGGTGAATGGGTGGAATTGTTAACGAAATGGAGGATCCAGGGTTAAATGGGAGGAGCGTGTGTGATCAGCTGTTGTGTGTGTGTGCCCGCAGGACGACTATAATCATGTGCACGGGGGGAAGTGGACGGTCAGTAACCTGCGTCTGTATCTGGAGAGCACGCGCGGACCCGACGTCACCAACCACCTGTTTGACCAGATACACTGGATCATCGTGCAGTCGCTCAAAGCTGTGGCTGTACGTCTCACACACACACACACACACACACACACACACTACAGACAGTGAGCGTGAGTGTGTGTGTTTCTGTCTGCAGCCTGTCATGAACAACGACAAGCACTGCTTCGAGTGTTACGGCTATGACATCATCATCGACGACAGACTGAAGCCCTGGCTGATCGAGGTCAGTCACACACACACACACACACACACACACACACACATATCATCAGCATTAATATTGTCATTTATAGTGCTCAGTGAAGTGAAGCAGCTGCTGTTAGAGCACTGAGCACAGCTGAAGATGGCTTATGGCTTTGTTTTCTCAATTCTGCTTTCAGCTCAGGTTACTTCCCTATCTGTGTGTGTGTGTGTGTGTGTGTGTTTCAGGTGAACGCGTCTCCGTCTCTGACCTCCAGCACTGCTAATGACCGCATCCTGAAGTATAACCTGATCAACGACACGCTGAACATCGTCACCCCGAACGCAGAGATCCCCGACTGCCGCTGGAACCGCAGCCTGCCCAAAGAGGCCCTCGGCCACTACCAAGTGCTGTGAGTGGCTGTGTGTGTGTGTGTGTGTGTGTGTGTGTGTTAAAAATGTGTAGTGTGTGTTATTGTGTAATATATAGTGTGTCTGCATGTGTGTGTGTAACTTCTATTCCTAAAGTAATAAACACCCAATGTGTGTGTGTGTGTGTGTGTGTGTGTGTGTGTGTGCTGCAGGTATGATGAGGAGCAGGCTCTGAGCGAGAGCACAGAGCGAGATCTCCGCAGCCGCTCGGGTCACTCTTTGGGGTCAAAGAGCACGAGGCAGAGCGGGGTCAGACCTTTCCCAGCCACCTGGAAGTGAACACACACACACACACTCATACACACACATACAGAGAGACGCTGCTGCTCCTGCATGACTGGAGGACACTGATGATCAGCTGTCTGGACTCTTCGTCTGTGTGTGTGTGTGCGTGTGTGTGTGTGTGTGTGTATTTGAGAGAGGCGGTGCTGTGATATTGGTGCAGTATACTGATCAGGCGTGATGGTAAACACCTGACAGCAGACAACAGCAGAGCCAGTGAAGTGTGATGTACTGTACAGTATCTTCCATGAGGACTGCAGGAGTACCTGAGGTGTAGACACTTTCAGAAGCTGTAAATAAGAGGAATAAAGTCTCTAAGAGAGTCTCAGTCTCCTGTGTAAGTGACTGAAACACATTCATTCTGCTTAGTCCACAGCGGAATGAACCGCCAACTATTCCAGCATTTGTTTTAGATAGCGAAAGCCCTTCCAGCTCAAAACACTCATTTACGCACACACTCATACACTACTGCCAGTTTAGTTGATCAGCTCCCCTAAAGTGCATGTGTTTAAACTGTGGGGGAAACCCATGCCAACTCGGGGAGAACATGCAAACTCCACACAGAAACACACTGACTCAGCCGGGACTCAAACCAGAGACCTTCTTGCTGTGAGGCCACCGTGACACATTAATGAGGAGTAATAAATGTTTCTTGTCAGTTGTTTATTACGGTGTACACGTTAATATTGGCGGTGATTGAAGCAGATAATCAATAATCGCGTGTTTATCAGCTGTACTGGACTTTTATAAACTTTTTTTAAATGTAAATAGTGTCCGTGCGGGTGCGCGCTCGACAGTTCGCTCATGCACGCGCAGGGGATGTGACGTCAGAGAGCCGCGCCTCCGCTCAGCTGCAGTCGCCGAATACCGATGAGAAACGGAGAAAAGTCGAGCAAACTCTCCGGGACAGACACGCGGGCGGCGGAGCGACTCAAACACACTCAGGTAACCGGCAAACACAGCGCACACACCGCGCGCAGCTCTCGCGGACACCGGGGGAACTTTCTGAGGGCGTCAGTCTGAGCGCAGGGCAGGCGCTGTCCGGAGGTCGGTCCCCGGTAACGGATCGCTCACCGGCGGGTCAGCCGCTGTCCTCCGGAGTTCATAGCAGCGCTTTATTCCGTTACAGCGGCTCTCCGTGAGTCAGCGGCGTGACGTTATCAGCGTGCTTCCGTTAGACCGCGCTCGAGTTTGAGCTTCACACATTCAACGTGTTCACGGCACTTCAGCAGTGTGTGTGTGTGTGTGTCAGAAAAGTGTGTTAATGTCAGAACAGTGTGTGTATGGCAGGTCAGGGGCTCATACGCCTGTGACAGGAGTGTGTGTGTAACTTTCAGAGAGGCAGGGCGGGGCGCGAGCGCTGCTCGAAACCGCCGTCAGTGTGTGTGTGTGTGTGTGTGTGTGTGTGTGTGTTTCAACAGGTGCTGTGTTGTTTTGTTTGGACAGAGCTTTGTGTTTGACTGTATTCATTCGGATGATCTGGAAATGTTCTGAAGTAACCGTGAAGTCATACACATGCACAATGACGTCACGAGCAAAGCGCAGCGCTGGTCCTTATCAGTGACGTCACTGCGCTGGTTTTCTGGTGATGGTTCTACCGGCAGAGCTAATGCAGTGTCGCTTTCTGTAGGTTTGCGACTCGTATTGTTGTTATTATTATTATTATTATTAAGTTTTCCTGACTGAATGACTCCGCTATTCACTGACCTCAGTGTAAAGCTCGAGCTGAAGCCTAATGTTCTTCATAGTTAGTCAAACTAGTAAGTAGGAAGTGTTCGTTTACAGTGCTAATGAGTTAAACACTTACTGTCTGCTGTCTGTTTATAATGGAAACATGCTAATACATCACTGTAGCACTTAGCAGAGCTGGCTTTCACAATGTAAACACTCCTTGGGTCAGGCTGGACTCTGATTGGCTCTCAGGTGTTCGGTTATTGTCAGATAAAGTAGTTCCGGCAGGTTTAGAGCAGCTCTATATCACTCCGCTGAATGATTAGAGTTATTACACAGCTACAGTAGTCAGACATCACACCAGAACCCAACAGAGCAGGAGATGTGGAGGACACCAGTGTGTTGATGAGCAGGATCTGCTGACGGGTGTTGATTGAGTCTTATGGGATGCTGCAGAATTATTCACACACTTCGCTTCATCACACACACACACACACACACACACAGAGCTGAGGTGGTTACTGTGCAGATTCAGGATCTCAGAGGAGCTGCAGGCCGCTGTGTGTGTGTGTGTGTGTGTGTGTGACCTGATCAGCTCCCGCGTTCATGTTCAAGCTGATCGTCAGGTCCTCCAGAGAGAGCAGTAGTAGCGGAGTGTATCCGCTGCGGCTCAGTCAGGAATCTGAAGACTCGCTGAAATGAGTCACGGAGAGAGACAGAAATGAGGAAGCTGAACTCTGACTAATGAAGAGCTGAGGAGATCATCCAGGACTTCACTTTAATTCATTTATCTCCTCAAGCTGTAGGATCTGCAGTCACTCAGCTACATCAGATCAGTGTGTGGATCAGATCTGACAACGCTCAAACACTAAACACAGCGCATATATATATATATATATATCTACATGTTTACAGCTAATTTTTAAAGTAAATTCTAAAACAATACATTAATACAAATCCTATTTACAGTATTAACGGGTCATTAGAAAAGATGGTTAGTGTTTAGCTCTGGGTAAATCTAGCATTTCGTTCATGATGCTCCTAAAAGTGTCTTAAAAAGGCTTAAATTTGACTTGAAGCCTGCATTAAGCCTGAATACACTACTGAAGTTTACCCACACTAGCAGAATGGGAATTCAAATCTTTATTTACTGTAGAAACTGTCATTAATAAAAGCAAGTAATAAACACACACACACACACACACACACACACACACACACACACACATTTAAATGAGCAGCACACAGTTAAGGAAACCGTAAACATTGAGGGAAAAGAGGAACTACAGAGAAACTTTTCACTGAATTCATCAAGCAAAGGAAATTAACAGTAAAGGAACAAAGTAAAGTTTAAACAATATATATTAAATACCAGTAATAATATGCAAGTAAAAACTGAATTCTTTAATTAAACAGTAACTATATTTTTAAGTCCGAAAACGGGTTTTCTTTATTTTTTGTTTTATTATTATTGATTTTATTACTTTATTTATTTTTGTCCTGCTACATGATAATTAAATAATAATAAAAAATATTTGTTAGATTTTAAAATTACATGAAATCCAACCTAAAATTTCACACAGCATTTTAAGACATTTTAACAATCGATTTGATCAAGTAGTTTTTACCAGATGTCGTATTGGGCATACGAGAATAACACGTGTTTTTTGCTGCAAGGTGAAAACTCTACTCAGTGTTTGTGCTGTAAAACTCCTCTGACTGTAAAACACATTTTACTGCACTGCCCTGCTTTTACTGAATCCAGAAGCCTTTTTTATGAAATGAACTCTTTGAAGGACATTTTTAACAAAGTGGAACCAGAAAAGATTTTAGAATTTTTATCATGTATTAACACAAAAAATCTTATTTAATTTATGTTTTATTTTGTTTGTTGATTTTTAAATTGTATATTTATTGTTGAAAGGTTCCTGCCATGAAAATAGCCTTGCTTGCTGACATGGCATTAAATAAAAAATACAATACATTTTGTTAGATTTTATTATAATCATTATTCAGTCGATAAGACACATAAAAAAAAAACATTAATTTATGAACAAATTTTAAAATGTATTCATTTATTCATTCGTTCATTTTGTTTAAAGCTTAGTCCCTTTATTAATCTGGCGTCGCCACAGCGGAATGAACCGCCAACTTATCCAGCAAGTGTTTTACACAGCGGATGCCCTTCCAGCTGCAACCCAGTTCTGAGTAACGCCCATACACTACAGCCAATTCAGTTGATCAGTTCCCCTATAGCGCATGTGTTTGGACTGTGGGGGAAACCGGAGCACCCGGAGAAAACCCACACCAACACAGGGAGAACATGCAAACTCCACACAGAAACACCAACTGACCCAGCCGAGACTCAAACCAGAGACCTTCTTGCTGTTAGGCCACAGTGGGACACCAGTGAGCCATTGCACCACCCCAGAATCATCATCATCATCATCATCATTATTATTATTGATTTAGTGAGTGAGTGAGATTAGTGAGCAGTGTCTCCAGGGTGTACTGCTCCAGTGGTTCTTGAGTTGTTGTTTTGTAGTTTTATTCCAGTATTTGTGTGTGTTTTGAGAGCAGAACTGAAGACTTTAAGGTAATATTAGTGTTGAGTGTTGAGCAGAGCTGTCAGAAAGCACTGATTGTAGATCACACACACACACACACACACACATGTGGACAAACGTCAGCCAACAGTGGCAGTAACATGCATAAGGCAGACAGTTTTATTGCCTGATTCATTAAGAAAGTACAATACTTTTCTGCAGATAATATAATAAAGTAACAATAAATCCTCTACACATTACGCACACGCTTACAAATGAAGGAAAGATCTAATGAAATCTGCCATATTTAATGAAGGACAGTGAACTAACAAGGTGAACATAATAACATGCAAGCCAAAGCTTGATTATTCATGAATAAATAATGATTTAGATCAAGCCTAATGGAGTCTGACAGGCAGTTATCATTAAATGAGCATTATAATCTGCATTATTCCTGATGTAGTGAATGAGAAGCAGCCTCTGCAGGAGATCTACTGCTCCAGGGGTTCATCAGATGAAGAAATAAAGTCTTAATGATTAACTGTAAATATTGTATATATTTATACAATAGTTCTGTCTGGTTCTCAAATCTGATTGGCTGATAGCTGTGCAATATTCTGCAATATCAGAACTCCTACAGCCTCTTCACCCTTTGTGTATTACTCCGCCCACATACAGCCAGCAGAAAGCAGACACTACAGATCTACAGTGTAAAAGATGCTTTTAACTGTTTTAACAGCTGTTAAACTGTACGCTTATGATTTAAATCCAACGCGGAAGAAAGTAGTTCCTCATACCAAAGGGTTTTTGAGACTCTCCATGTTTGATTATGTTTTTATACACAATTATGAAGTTAAACTGTCGTCTAAACGCAATATCACACTCGTAGCAGTGCCATATGGCTGTATCGGCACTGGTGGGGGCACTAAGGCAACGCACACCACCCACCAGTGCTGATATACAGCCATATGGCACTGCTACGAGTGTGATATTGCTCATATATATATATATATATATTTTTTTTTTTTTTTTTTTTTTTAATATGGATTTTCGCACAAGAACTGAAGCAAATGATGGCAGTAGTATTGAGAAAAGATGAAGACGAGCTGTTTTTCCCAGTTACTGCTGGATTTCTGAGGGATTCATGTTATTGAGTAGCAGTTCCAGCGTTATAGATGTGATATTTACAGTGAAATCTCAAATATTAACTCACAGAGAGAGTATGTGTTAACATTATACTGAAGCATCGTTTATATTGTACAAAACTACTAATCACAGAGTTGTGGGATCAGGACCGTATCCATCTGTAGACGTGTTTAATTGAGGGAAATCAGCATGCGTTATGGATGTGTACATGTGAGTTTGCAGGAGGAGAAATTGGAGAAATGTGAAGTTGACATGTTCGTTTATTTCGTTAATTGATGATGTTAAATTGAATGGGGCGATCTATAAGCACAAATCTACAGCTGGAATACAGCGTTTCATCATTGCTTCCATGTGAACCGGTCTTACAGTCTCAAATGGGAGCATGTCTTAAA